GGATTTATTTACACAAATTGAATGTTTAACGATTAACCTGTGAACTTGTCCTAATTTCATCTAAGTAAACAGAAAAAAAAAATTAATTTTATGGAGTTTTTAAATAGGTACTAATTTTTCTTATCATTGCTTAAGTTAATAGCTGGATGAGTAAATAAATACAGAATGGTATTAGAACTTTAAGGGCTTAAAACTTTTGTATTTATTTATTTTATGCAAGAAAATTTTTTAGTAACAATTTTTTACAACAGGCAACGCGCAGCTACTTTGTTGGTTTGTATCTATGTACTCACAGAACACAAGTGTGTAACCAGTGGCGTATCACAAAAAATATAAAAAACTTCTAATGCATATATTTTCTTTATCTTTGGGAAAATATCTTTTAAAATATTTTTCCATTACACCTTATGTCAAAAGGTATTCAGTATTTTAATATATAACATTAATTACATAACACCCTGTATTGACTGATGACATCAAGTTGTCCAACTTTTGTAGAATCACCCATATATTTCGGAAAGGAATTTTCTCGAAAATTTAATTATTTAATAATAATTATTTTTACCAAGTATATAATTTTACATGAAATTGTACCTATATGTAATGCAATTATTAAGTTTAATTGCAAAAATTATTATAACCCTTGAAACAAAACAAGCGCAAGTCGAGATTATGTTTTGAACTGTCACGTAAAATAATTTCTAAAACAAAATAATTTAGTTTGTGACAGATATAAAGCAAAATTACTGAAACAATCGTAATTAAGTGCGGATAAAGCAGCGACTTTGCTTATCTTTGCGCTATGCAAAGCACAAAAGATTTGATTGTAATTTTCTGTTTAGCTACGACAATAAATTTGCGCTGATTAAATGCTTAAACTTTAATTGCAATTTTTCATCGAAAAGCAAACTTTATTTTTTAATAAAAAGTAAGCAAAAATTAAAACTGAACGGTGTGCATAGTTAATCTGCTTACCATTGCAACTATTTTAACTCTGTTATTATTGGAGCTACAATTAACAATTACAATTAAATTTAAATGGTAAAAACAGAAAAATGAACGTCGGGTTTCCAAAATATTCACAACCCTAAACTTAAAAATAAACAATTAACAAGCTCCAATAAACATAGTTGGACACCCTGTATATATTTTGGACTATAGGGTGGTCCTTATTTTAAGTCGAAAAATCTTCGAGGTCATTCCCTAAAATCAAGGTATAATGTTTTTCTAAGAATCAGAAAAAAGAATACGTCTTACAAATTGTAATTGTAAGTTACAATACATTAAAAAATACGTGTTCGTAATCTACGACCAAAATAGTTATTTACGATATAAGTGGGATAAGAGCTTTATTAACGTACGCATGCGAAATTTGCCCAACGAGTGCGGAGTTGGGCAATCGCAAAAGTACGTTAATAAAGCGTTATCACACGTATATATTTTTATCTACGCCTCTAAATGAAAAAATAAACGGTAATTATTTTTGTCTAAGACTTCATGTAGGGTTATTTTGACATTTTGACTTTTTTATTTGATTGGTTAAAAACAGAGAAAAACGCGTGCGTTAATGAACTTCTTATCTCACTCAAAATGAGTGGGAAGTTCTTATCTCACTGGCGTAGATAAAGTAAGTTTAAGGACATGAAATAATTTTGTTGAAATTTAGTAAGATTAAGTAAGATGTGGGTGTGGACCCCCCTCCCCCTCACTTGAGATTAACCGTATAATGTTTTAATAATTACATTTATTTAATATGTTTATACAGTATGAAGCGTAGGATGTGCCAAAAAAACCTACTATTTTTTTTTTACTTTGTACTCTGAAAAATCGGTTACTAGACACCTCTAGAGAATTCCCACCAAACATGAGCTCTTAATTTTGATAAGGTTACAAAATTTTATAACTCGCTTACAAAAAATTTTTATGAATCGCGCAACTCATAGTTTTGTAGGAAATTAACTGCTCTACAAAAATGGTCTATTATGATTTGTCGATTAAATTAAGCGTTTAAAAGATATTCATCGTCAAACTTCAATGCATACTAATTTTAACAGATTTTGATAAATAATTCGAAAAATTTCAATTTAATTTTTAAGTTTTACGAAAATTTATACAAATTCGAGTTTCTATCGTAAAAGTAACTCATAGAAGTTTCCCTTTCGAAAATTTATTTGAGACTTTTTTATTTTAATAATATTTTCATGAAATTTATCTTTATAATAACTTAAAATCATAAGCAATTGAAAGTTGATGATTCGGCAGAGCGAGCTGTTGCATTAGTTCATGATTATAACCAATGCTTAATAAAAAATGAAGAGCAATTTCAATATAAAGATCATCGCAAACAATACCCAAATTATAATAAAGAAAACTTTTTACAGTAAAAGTGTACGATTATATTATAAATGTTAAAAATTTTATTTCAGTTGATAAAATTAAATAAAGAAACTTTTTAATAACAAATAGAACATTTTTTTTCTTCAAGATCAATACTTTTCATATTAAATTTATGAAAAAAACGTTATTTTTTTCAAAATTTAATAAATCATTGACTCTGAGTTAGAAATAATGCACTATTTTTCTTTTCAATATAACCAAACAAATGTAGGACTAAAAAAACGAGAAAAATAGTTTCTCTTTTCATAGGAACTCAAATTTGTATAAATTTTCGTAAACCTCAAAAATTAAATTGAAATTTTTCGAATTATTCATCAAAAACTGTTAAAATTAGTATGCATTGAAGTGGACGATGAATATCTTTTAAACGCTTAATGTAATCTACAAATCATAAGAGATCATTTTTGTAGAGCATTTAATTTCCTACAAAACTATGAGTTGCGCGATTCATAAAAAAAATTTTGTAAGCGAGTTATAAAATTCATAAGCAAAACAGAAATTTCTCTTAAAATAATTAAATTTAACCTTCGATATCTTTTAAACGGTGAGGCTTAAGAAAAAATTGTAAGAGACCTTTTTTGTATAGCGTTCGTTTTCCTACAAGAATATGAGGAGATATATTTTTTAACGAACAGTTATCGAAGAGATATGAATTTTTGTTTCTAATACTAAAGAAAAAATGGAAAAATGTAAAGCGGAGAACCTTGTTATCAAAATTAAGAGCTCATGTTTGGTGAGAATTCTCTAGAGGTGTCTAGTAACCGATTTTTTAGAGTACAAAGTAAAAAAAAAATCCCAATATGGGAGTAGAAAAAATCTTTTATATATCAAGAATATTTTCAATCAAGGATGAAAATTTATATATAAACACTTAATTTTATATCGGCCCAAACGGCAAAAGTATGAAACAAATTCATTAAAAAATGTGCCTTTTTAAAAAAAAAATTCTTGAACACGTCGATTTTGCTTTTTAATTCCCGACATTTTGATGTAAAATTTTCATATATGCCGCCATTTTTGTGTATGCTATGACGTCATCGGCTGTTTTTTTGCAGATTCGAATAGATTATGAAGTTCTTTAATATTTAATATATTGGCTATTATTAAATTTAAATTTGCGATTTAAAATTTTTTATTTAACTATAAATTAAAATAGCATACATATATGTTTGCAATGAAACAGTTTGAAATATTGGAATAAAAATATTCTTTGAAACGTAGATCTGATTTCAGTATTATATCATAAAAATAATAGTTATTTATGTCATTAGGTTAAGAAGTAAGGCTTTTTGTGCTAAGCTCAAGGTTTGAAGGCCGACGCGTAGCGGAGGCCTACAATTGAGCGAAGCACAAAAAGGCACTTCTAGGCCGAATGGCATACAGCACTTTATCTTCAAAGCACTTTATATAGGTTAATTTAATTCAACATCAAAGCGGCCTAACCTCACTTTTTTAGAATCTCATTTATTTATTAGCTAAAGATTACATTAAATGTACAATAATTATTATTGCTTTTAGAAGCAGTAATAGTTTGACAATACCTAGCTACATGATTTAAGTAGAAATGGATTTTTGCTATTACATTGAATTCAATTAATTGTTTAATAAATAGGTAGGTATCTAATTTCAATTTGTTTTGATTTTTATTTAAAAAATAGGTAGTTTGGAATGTTTAAGCTGTGTTTAACATTTAATTTCACTCAAGATAATTTAAATCGTAGAAAAAGAATCGTGCGTTTTCTTGGTTGCCTTACCTCACTTTTTATTTTCATTATTCATATTTAATTTTACAATAATTTAATGAAAAAATTTATACATTAACAGCAAAACAAACAAATTAGTGCTTATTATAAATAAATTAAACCAGTTTAGTACGTTAATTTCTTAGAAAAGGATTAATTTGTCAAAACAATACCCCTAGCGAGAAAAAATCGAACTAATTACTTGCCTCATAAAAATTTGTATCGGCCTAGCCCATAGGAAGGTATTTCTTTATCGAATGTTGACAACAATAAAGTTTAAATTATAGACCACGTGGAGATAAAATGTATTACTTAAATAAACACTTGATCCTATTTTTTTCAACATCATTTGTATCCCTACCTTGAATAATACATACCCCTTAGTGAGAATCCGACTGGGGCCCCCATTTCTATAGTTACACCCTGTGTTTAAATGGGTTTTAACTGTCTACTTAAAAAGCAATATATTGGGGATTAAAAATAGGTACTCCACTGCCTATTTTAATCAAAATTAAATGTTTTATGTAGGTACTGTCTCATAATCATAATCACAGTCTGTTTTCATTGCCATGTAGGGAGTAAAATGAGTATTTTTGTTATAAATAAAATAATACAATTTTATATTTTAACTTCAATATTCCTACAAATTACAAACAAAAGGTTTAATAAAAATACTTCACTTTTACACATACCTTAACAATATTTCACTAGAAAATCAAGTTAGTAGATACAAGGAAAGTGTGTAAACGTATTAGTTGCTAGCAAAAGTGTAGAATTACGACACGAACGACAAACCAACAACTAAAAATAAATCCATCACGTCTAGCGTAGTAATTTAGCCTGTAATGCACGTAATTTCAGGAAGGAAAGGGCAAGTGGCTCAGTCTGGAAGCGGAGCTGGTGATGAGGGACGGGGAGGTCGTCGGTACCAAAATGCCCACCGGGCATTCGCTACTTGTCGACTGTCGTTTCGAACTACCTTTCGGTAAGTCAAAAAACACCTACAAGAAAAAAATACTACCACTTTTATTATGTTAGTTCAGTCACTTAAAGTTTTAATTTTAAAAAATTGGAAAAGTATTTTTTTAGTGAATAGCTTTATTTTATTGATTTAAAATGGTATCAAGCAATGAATGTTAAATTTTTGCTAAAAAGTATAATTTGAAATTATATTTCATTAATACGAGTAGTTGAAATTTAAACTATAGGTATCTTCAAAAATATAATAAAATGTTTGTTTTTTCATAAAGGTTACTAACACATTTTGCATGATACTTATGTTAAATAACAAAACATTCAAGACATACAAGAATGATTGAAAAATGTTTTTGTAAGTTTTAAGTCACTTTTATTCTTAATTGATAAAAATAACATACATAATTTGTTTTTAAATATCGATACGTGGTATTGTTGGCTATCGAAAGGACAACATTTACTGCAAGTTTCGCTATTTCATCCATTTTTCCCACTTTAGTATACTTATAAAAAAACAAAATAACCTTTTTTTTATATTTTGCTAAAAAACTCTTTAAAGTATTTTTTACGCAATGGCGGTGAAATAGCCAAGTAATGTTATTTATAAAAGGTTATCATGGTTTTTGGATTTTTAAGAACTCTATGAACTCTATGAAAAATATTTAAAAAAATTGGACATCCTAGTGGCCAATAACTTTTCTATTGTAAATTGGATTAAAAAAATTACCTTAATTTAGCTCAATTAGGTCTTTTTTCGATTTTGTGGTTTTTTACAAACAAACTTTAAAATTCGTATATATTTTGTTGACCGAGGATAATTGGTAAAGTAGCCATAGGTCCTAATTAAACTAAAAAATATAAATATACACATGCATTTATAAAGATTTTTAATTTTGCTTATTTTTTTGAGTGTTTTTCAAGTAAGAGCATAAATAATTAAAAAACTTAAACACAAACAGGTTTTATTATAAGGAAGCTGATAGGTTGACATGGCTGAAAGATTTATTTATTTATTTAATGAAAGTTAGTTTAAAAAAATCGGAGCTTAAGATTTTGTCATTTTTTTTTATTTAACTTTTTGAAAATTGTTTTTATTTATTATACAGGGTGTGCCATAATTACTGTGCATTACTTTAACAGCAGATTCTACGTACAAAAATAAGAAAAAAAGTTCCTATAAACATAGGCCGAGAAATGCTTTCTAAGGGAACTACAGCCCCTAAATGAGGAGCCCCTGAAGATGGTTTTTATTTAATATATCCAAAACCGTTCAAGGTAGAAAAGTAAAATTTTGAGAATTAATCAAACTTTTTATAGCCAATAAGATGTAATAATAAAAATTAAAAATTTCAATGAGGGGGGGTCAGATAAATAGGGAATAGGGGTTAAAACCACCCTAACTTTTTGTACATGTCTCGTGCTAGGATTTGATGTCAGATTATGAAATTTCGGAATTTTACACACAAAAAAGTCCTCTTGTTAAACTTTGATATTGTCCACTGTTTTCGCTTAAAATTCATTTAAAAATTACCTTACATAGCATAAAAGATCATAATGAATTCACAAGAGAGAAAAATTCAGAGTAGGCCATGGAACACAGCTGCCATCTTTAGGAAGAATTATTTAGGACAGGTGACAGTTTCATGTAATAGGTGACAGGGTGTTTAAAAATTGTCCATGGCCATGTTTAAAAATTGTCCATGGCCTACGCTGAATATTTTTCTCTAGTTCTGATTTCATTATGAATTTTTATGCTATGTAGGGTAATTTTTAAATCGATTTTAAGCGAAAACGGTGCATGCTATCGAAGTTTATCAAGAGGACCTTTTTTGTGTGTAAAATTCCGAAATTTCATAATCTGACATCAAACTCTGAAATTTTATGATCTGATATCAAATCATAGCACAAGATACGTACAAAAAAGTTAGGGTAGTTTTACCCCCACTCCCTTTCTATCTGACCCACCCCTTATAAAAATATTGAATTTGATATTATTTCAACTTATTGGATATAAAAAGTTTCACGTTTTTATCTTAAACAGTTTTGGAGATATTAAATAAAAACCATCTTAAGGGGCTCCTCTTTCGGGGGCTGTAGTTTCCTTGGAAATCATTTCTCGACCTATTTTTATAGGAACTTTTTTTCTTATTTTTGTACATATAATCTGCTTTTAAAGTATTGCACGCTAATTATGGGACACCCTGTATATAGGTAAATATTTAGTACAGGGTGTCTCATTTGGTTTTTCACTTTTTGAATTTAAAATTTAAAAAAACCAATCGATCAATTTTGACAAATTTTTTATTAACTTAAAGAAAAAACTTGAGAAATTTATTTTTTTTAAATTATATTGTCCAAATGTTGCCCATTTTTTTCCTGGCACTCTTGAAGTCTAGCTCTTAAATTTGCAATCACGCTCCGAAAAGTTTGCTCACTTATGGCTTTCATTTCTGCCCGAATATTGTGCTTCAAGTTCTTCAAATTGGCAGGGTGGTTACGATAAACTCGACTTTTAAGATATCCCCATAAAAAGAAGTCGCATGGAGTCAAATCCGGGCTTCTGGGGGGCTAATTTATGTCACCTCGTCGGGAAATCAGCCTGAACAACGGGCAAAGACCGATTTGAAGTGTGACTTGTGGCTCCGTCTTGTTAAAACCAGCTTTCTTGGTCAAATCCTTCAAATTCTTGAAGAGCAGGTGTCAAAAAATCACGTATCATGTCGACATAACTCCTGCGAACCGACAAGTTTGGTTCCTGCCGCACAGACGCTCTCACCATCTCAATGTTTTTAGAGCTTCTTATTGTTCTTAAACGGTTGGTTATGCGTTTATTTGTCGTTAAACCAGTCTCTTCAAACTTACGAACCCATGCCCTAATTAAATTAATGCCTGGGCATTGTTAAATGTCGTGTAAATTGTAATGGCGTCTAAACAAACATCGAACGAGAGTGCAAAAATTGTTATTTTTATAAAACTCGCGCATACAAAAATCGCGTTGTTCTCCTGTGTAACGCTGCATGTTGACTAAATTTCCCAATACCAAGCGTTTGTTTACGACTAACCCCACTCTTCCAACCCACCTATCAACTTTTTTACAGGGCCACAAAAAGTGAAAAACCAACTGAGACACCCTGTATTTATTAAGAGATTATAAAATTAAAATATATGTAATTCATTTTAAATTACCTTATAATTTTAAAACTATTTTTTAGTATTTTTATCCTTAAAATAACCTTCATCACGTGATATGGTGTTTGTGCGCTTTTTCCAAACACTTTGTATAAGCGATATGTAGCAAACACAGACCTGTGGTAGCAAACAATAAATTCAACTATCTCGATTTCGTTAAAAATTAAAAAAAAAATACGTATTTTGTATGTTTTTATTTTTATGAATACAATACAATATAATAAGTAAAGCCGTAGATAAGAGCGATTTGATTTGCTATTCTTACATAAGGCTTTAATTATTATATTTTATACACACTGTATATTTTAGCAAATTTTATTCCACAAAAACCTAATCGTCTATATGATTTTAAAATAAAGCTATCCACGAAAGAAATCTTATGCTATTTTTTTCTAAACTCCTAGTGACAAAAGCTCTTTCTTTCTTTTTCTATCCTCCTTTTAAAAATCTTTCCGCTCTTAGTTACCGCTCATGCTGGGTTAGTATGATTAGTTTTATTAATGTTACTTTTGTTGTTTTGCAGCAGGAATTCTACCTAGTGGAGTTTGCGAAACTCCGAAGTTGAATTCCTGCGCTTTTTGTAATTTGTGTCCCTCGCGTTCAGAATTATGTTTATTGTAGCCTAGGGCATGTGATTTTCGACATCATTTTCATTCAAATTTTTCTAAGGTTTTAATTAAAATAAAATTATAATTTTGATAAATAAACAACGGTAGGCCATGGCATCAAATTCAGCGGTGCCAATGTAGTAAAAATAAAACGTTGTATTTTAATTAACAAATTACCACTTTATAACAAATTAAAGTATTAATAAAAAAATTAAACCTAAAAGTAAATAACCAACAATATAAGTTGTTAATTTGTTGTTATAATGACAAAATTAAGGTTTAAAACAGTCATATGGGTGATATATACCCATATGGGTTGGACAACTTGATGTCATCATTTTGGGTATACCGATATCTCAATTATTAGATATGGGACCCACACCAAATTTATATGAGTTTATATTGACATTAAATAAACAAGTTCTGCGCAAGCAGAATTTAAATTAAAGTTTGTAAAAAAAAGATTACCGAAATATCTAACATGGAACTGACGACACGGTACTGATGAATGGGATACAAATTTGACATTATAATTCGGAATTAAATATTTTACTGATATTTTTTATTAGTGGATGCTTTTTTTCAACAAATCACATATAGCCTTATATAAATTACAATGAAATAAATATACGTAAGAAAATTACTACTCACCACAGTACTGAAATTTTGACTGGAACTATACGTGCATTTACCACAACTTCGCCGCTTGCGTTGTTTTCAAGATTACTGTCGAGCAAAGGGCGGGCTCTTTAGGTAATTTTTTACTTGAGTTAAAAGGAGGACTTGACGTTTAAACTTCAATATTTCGCAGGAATTTTGAATTTTAACATTGGACATTAATCTGAGGGGTAAAAGTGAGTACAAGATTATATATTTTTTTTAAATTGATAATATTATTATTCGAATCTATGATAAAATATGAAAAATACATTAGGTATTTAATGTTTTATAGTTTGTAGTGAAATTGAAAAATTTAAGATAAATTGAATATATTTTAAAATAAAATCACTCAAATATTTGATTCAGGGGTTGTGACACGCCAAGGTACTGATGTTTTGAATATTTATTATGTTTTTCTACAAACGTGCTTTTGAAAAAATACATTAAAATTGGGTGGACGTTAAAAAACTGGATCTTTTGTAATATACCAAAATATTTACAAAAAATTTTAAAATACCTACTCTATTGACTGATGACATCAAGTTGTCGAACT